TTGGAATGGAATAGCAGGTAGAGAAATTATTATTTTTATCAGCTTTCCAGTAACAGGTAAGGGCTGATTCTTTTCTAGGCCAAAATTTCTCTGTGGCAAATTTCAGGTTTGAACTGCTGATCTCAGGCTTTGAATTTGTATCTGATGGACACAGAGAAAAGACATTTAATTTGCTATTATATGGCATTAGAAGGAATTCTACAGTTACACATGGAAATTGGCTAATTGTTGGGGGGAAAAATGGAAAAAAAAATACTAAGAAAAGATTGATTTTTTTTCTCTCCAAACCGTGCATAAATCTCTTGATAAATCCAGTGCTGAAGGTCATGCTTTGCACATGCAATAACACACACTCTGTATAATTTTTACAACCAATCATCAGATGTGTTGCACGCTCTAAGGAAACGTGTTGATTTAAGAATTTTGGTGCTGTGGTGGCAGATTTTCGAAGATGATCATGTTGAGAAGTGCAAAGATTACCTCAGGAGCCACGTCTCTTGTTCACTTGCCTCTGCATTTGGATCAAGAGGGTGCAGCTTATTTTGAAAACGCCCAAACTTTGCTTTAAATGGCCTGTCCAGGAATGAGTTATCCACAGCCCTGCCTTTAGTTAGGGTTTTTTCTCACTTTGGAGCTTTTAAACATGAATGAAAAGGTGGTTGAAAGGTCAATCATGTTTTATTTCAAGTTTCTAGAGCCTTCTGCAGCGAGCCCTCCCAGCAATGTGTGTCACCTCTGTGCTGGAGTGGGAAGCCAGCTCTGTGTTTGGGGCTGTTCATTAATTCAGCTTCAGAACACCAAATTTTCTGCTTAGACCTCTCTTTTTTCTTCATTCCACATGCACAAAACCTCTGTCTTTTACTAAGGCTTTAAATACCTGCTGCAGACATTCATTGCTGCCTTTAGACACCAATGTTCAGTTTGCAAACCGATCGCTCCCATTTAGATTTCACAATGACTGCTTAGATACATTTAATTAAAGTGATAGAGTTCAACCAAAAACTGTTGAGATAATTCCATTCCATCAGAGAGGAAATAGCATTAAAATCCAGACGGAACCCCCCACCCCTTTCCCATTTCTCCAGAATTACCATCAGCCATGAGATTATCTCCAAGGTTTCCTGGAGATGCATAAACCCAAAGCATGCCACGAACATCTACCCATGAATGGAATGAACCATCACTCATTCAAAGAAACAAAACCCCTTCTGAGCCTAATATCCTTAGTGTCATCGTTAATTACAATATGCAATCATAATCATTTTGGAGGTAGACCTGGGGTTAATTTGGCCAATCAACTGCTGATCATTAGCAGCAGCCTATTGAAGTGTATGAAAATGATCCCCCGTAGTTCCTACACGTATGACGGAAGTAATACATTGTGTTCTTTTTTCCTACAGGCTGTGTGCCAAAGTATTAGTTTTCCCTGTGACTCCAATTCACAATTACTGGATACTTTTAGTTCTTATCATTTTTTTATGAACAGGTGGATAGGAAATCGTTTTGGCATAAAGTAAACAGGGAGAGGTGCTGCAATGGGCTGTCTCTGTTTTAAAGGCTTGTTGCCAGACTTATTTTTCTTTTTATCTTTCCAGTTTTCTTTTTATAGCAGGCTTTGAAATAATATGCAGGTTTGTTTTGTCAGAAGTACAAAGAAGGGGTCTTTTGTAGCATTTGGTTGTGTCACTCTTCTTCTACCTGTACTGACACTGTTCTGCTCCTCAGGACCTTTGTTTCATTTGACTGGTAAAAACTGATTTCAGCAAAACCCCAAAAGTAGAAAAAGATGAGTAAAAATCCCTGTTTTTGTTTGAGCATCCACATAGCTCTTAGGGCCTGTTACCATGTGAATGTATATGCTAATATACCTGTGAAATGGAGGGGGGCATTTATGTGAAAACATAAATACAAAATGTACTTCCATTCCACAACACCACAGAGTACACGATTATGAATGCAACAGTTTAAAATTATGGAACTTTGAAATATTCCTATGGTATTTGAATGGATAGACCTGCAGGATTCATCTTAATTGAATTAATTGTTTGTCCTGTGATTTGATTGCCTTTAGTGAAATCACAAAGTAAGTTGTTTGTATATGAAATTAAAAATGAAAACAAGTGGATCCAAGAGGTTCCTTTACACTGATAAAGTAACAAGTGGTGGCCAAAATAATAAAAGAGCCAATTCTCAGATAGTTTGGAGGCTGAATAAAATTAGACACCTACAGCAAGCATCTCTTTTTCCTGTGTCTAAAGAAGGATTTCCCAAATCAAGGCCACCAATCACATGTAATGTTTTAACTGCAGTGAATTGAACTGCTTCAAAGTAACAGAAGGGAAAAAAAAATTATATGAATGATCATATCAGCTCTTTCTCTTCTCTGTTTGAGGATTTTTGTCTGGCAAAAGGGATGCTGTATCTGAAATGGAACAAGGTAATGATATGGTGAAAGGAAGAAAAAAGCTATATTTGGAGGATATTTTCATTTTTTTAAAAAAACCCATTTTTGCCCATGCACTCTAGTGCCGAGGAAACATGAATGGGCACAAACGTCTATTTTTAATGAAAGAAAAAGAGTTGATTCACTCTCAGGCAGTAGTAACGTGTAACTTATTTTATAACAGCAAGAGCCAAGCATATGGTATTCATCATTAGCAGTAGCAACAGAAGCCGTTTCTGCTGGGCCGTGGCTGGATAGCACCGCTCCAGCGGCGAGCCCTGCCTCGCCGGGCTCCCTCCTTCCTCTGCAGCCCTGCCCTGCCACCACTCCTTTTTGGGCTTCCCTAAAAACACAGCCTAGACAAGATTTAGAGATTAAAAGTAGACATATTTATCGAAGGGCCTTCAGGTGCATTAAGGGTAGATGAAGCCTCCTCACGGGGCTACAGCCAAAATGGACAATGGGCCACGGGTTTTTCACACTGTTATAAGTGTGGTCCATTTGCATGTTGGGGATTCATCTTCCAGTTACAGCTTCAGGTAACAAAGTAATTTACCCCCAGCTGACTCATCCCCCAACCCACTTTTGTTTATACTTTTCCAGGCCTGAGGCAGTGAGGTGTCCTTGATTCCCAGGCCCAGAGAGGAATTGTTTTGTCTAATCAAAATGTGAAGACAGTAACTAACACTCCATATGGAGTTTAGAGTTATACACTAAAGAATTGCAAAGAGATTGCAAATATGTAAAAAATATAAAAGCTAAAATCCTATCGTGTCGCCCATGGCCCCAGCATGTCATCTAAGATTCCAACCCCATCAGCTGCTCTTGTATTTGTGGCCTTCTCAGTGAAACCAGTTCCATAATTAATGGTGTTTTACCTTTGTTTGCCCCTTTTTCATGCTACTGGTTGTGAGCTGTACTCACCTACAGGGCTATCAGGTCTATCTGAAGAAACACTATGTGACAAGAAGAGCTTTTTATTTATTTTTCCCACCTCCTCTCAGCAATTGGCTGGGCAGCTTGGAGATGTGAATCAAAGCTGGAGCTGTCAGTGAGCAGCTTTTAAAAAGTCCTTACCATTCCCCATTATCATTATGCTTACACACTACACCAGCAGCTAAACTTTGGCTTGATAGTCACAGCCATCATCTCTATTCCTCTATAGCTTTCAAAATGTTCCTCTAAAACAGAAATTCCTGGCAACGCCAGGATGGAGACAAATGTTTAATAATATCCTTGTTACTAATGATAAAACTGAGACACAGCTTGTTCCACGTGGCCAAATCCAAGTGTGTTATGCAGTGAGATATCTCCATGTGGGCAGCAACCCTGCCAGGCCCCTGTCATACCAGTCCTGGCTACCAGGACAGCCCAAAGGTCCCTGTCATACCAGCCCTGGCTACCAGGACAGCCCAAAGGCCCCTGACACACCAGTCCTGGTTACCAGGACAGCCCAACTCTACCCCTACAGACTCCTCAGGTCACTCCTCAGTGACCTTTGGTGTGCTCTCACCAAATACCATGGGTGCTGTGTTAAATTTCACTCCAGGTGAGAGGAGGTTCATACAGCTATTTGTTTTCAGATATCAAGTTGGATGGAAAACTTTTTGCTGCCTTGCAATGGACTTTTAGAGTGGGGAAAACTTGAGCTCTGGGCTTTATTGTATTTGTGGATATTTAGTGATTGGAGATGGGGTGCGTGTAAATTGTTTATAAAACAGTACAGATGCTAAAATTTCACATAAACTACAAAAAAAGGTGTGCTGAGGCCCTGGAACAGGTTGCCCAGAGAAGCTGTGTCTGCTTCATCCCTGGAAGTGTCCAAGGCCAGGCTAGACCAGGACTTGGAGCAACCTGGGCTAGTGGAAGGTTTCCCTGCCCTTGGCAGGGGGTGGAATGAGATGAGCTTTAAGGTCCCTTCCAATCTAACTTATTCAATGATTTTGTAATCATTTGTAGCCTTTATTACCTGTTAAAATTCTCGTTCACAACTTTTGTTCTTATGAAAAGTCACTTATTCCTCAACATCAAGCTTTCTTCTGTTAATTTCTGTATTCATTTAAACTGAGAGAGATGAATCCAACAACAGACCGGCCTGTGAGCACTCTATTGTTGTTGTCCTCAAAATTCCAATTCAATTTGTACTTTGTTTTTACAAAATCCCATGATATTGTGTAAAACATTGTTATGTTATGCCCTTACTAGATTGTATCAAATCAGGAAAATCATTGGAGGCTATCATTCATCTCAGAACACTTTAATTAGTGGATTTCTTTATCTGTCTTAAATTACTAACTTCCTCCTTGAAACTAGAAAAGTATGGAGAGCATCATTAGTTCTGTGTCTGTATTGCACTTGAGCACTGCCAGAATTATAAGTCTGTGACTGAAACGTGCATTTTGCTTTCATTTATGTTCTAGTTTCCCCCCTTCCTTCACTGTATCACAATTTTCCATATGAAACACAGCGCTTCTGTCTTTCTGTTTCTGTTCAAGGCTGGTTTGTAACGATGGTAAGATTTTGTGAATACTAATACAGGTATTTGTATTCTCTACAGGGAAGGGAACATCGGTTCTGGTCTGTAAATATGTACAACAGTTTATGACTTTCATGAAATATTGGAGGAACACAGAGATGAGAAGTTTTGTAGTATGGTAAGAAAGCCAAAATCCAAACAATGCTTCAAAGGCTTTTAAAATAAATCTTTATGTTGGTGTTGACAAAACTCAAGTAGTGCCATTTGAGACAGATTTTTCCATTGAGAGACAATTTCAAAAGCACAATTATATTCATATTTGGCCAAAGTGGTGTCCTATCTGAGGCCACCTAGATGCAGAGCAAGCTGAATTAATGCATCAGCCTCTATCTAGGGCCAAGGGATCAAGGAATCCGAGGAAGATTCCCCTCTCATATGCCAGCTTGCAGAAGAGCTGATGGACTTATTCCATAGTGAAAAACATCCCAGATACCCTGAGATGAAAAAAAATCTGTATTTCTGCTTCAGACCATTTTGCTCACCAAAATTTGGGTATCTGCTTGGCTGATGCAAACCATTAGCCCTTGTTTCGTACCAAGGTCAGAAAGCTGTTAATGCAATAAATTAATAGTTTAGCACAAAATTTAGGTGGTTTTGTTTCGGGTTTTTTTTTTAATAATAGGTTATTTCTTCTTCATTCCCTTTGAAAATTTTCCAATCCAAGGAAATATTTGTGGGAAAACTGAACTGACTGAGGTTCATACTTGGAAAGGGAGATGTGGTAGGTCCAGCCTCTGTGATCAGGTGGTGCTGAATGCCCATCTGGGAAAACCCTTGTCCTGTGATCCACCAAATAAGGTGGTAACTTTTACCTGTCAGCCCCAAAGCTTGCAGAAAAGCAGAAACAATTAAGATAAGCAGTGAAATTGGGACATGGTAAAAGGCTGGGGAAAAATGTGGGAAGAAGAGGAATTTCCCTTGCAATCCAAAGGCTAGGATTTCCATCCTTACTTGCAGCTCTAGGGGAGAGGAAGGTGATTAGAGAAGGTGGCTCTGCTTTTTACTCCCTGGGGAGGAGGGGATGCAGCATCCTGGACCTTGTGGCTGTTATGGGATGTTCTGAGCACTTTGGAGATTTGGTAGGAGGAGGCAAATTTCTACCAGTTTCTGTTGCCAAGCTGCACACCACAAATGTGTCTGTAAGCCCTGAGAAATAAATATGACTGCAGCTTTGTTTATAAGTGGCATAAAAACAACAGAGACAGCCAGTCAGCCAGCTTTTATAAATTATAATTTTAAACTGAAAACATAATTTGAGGTCAAGGCTGCTGTTCTGATTTCCAGGAATTTTTTTTTTTTCTTTTAATTCCCTGATTTTTACCTCTTCCTCCTTCATGCAATTTTACCCATGTTCAAATATTCAAAACAGAAATAAATGAGGAATAAGGAGTACTATTCTTAGGGGGTAAAAGATGAAAATTTCAAATTATATTGTGGGGTATTTTAGCTCTTTGAGCAACTCCATGTTTTCCTGAGGTAAAAGGTGTGCAGCCCTTCAGATTTTGTTGCTGTATTTTAGGGCTTCAGCTGCAGATGTGTTTGTGATCAGCCAAAATGGCCTTTGCAGCACATTGGGGAGCACAGATTTTAAATCAGTTATTTAAATTTAAAAAAAACCCAAAATCCCTAACAACAATTCCACTACTACTGTAAAATTCTCCCAAATTGAAAGGTGTAGTGTTTGCATCATTGATATTGGCAGTAGATGTAGGAATTTGTATGAACTTTTGCTAATTAATCTCAACTGTTTATTTAAATCGAACAATATTTGCTTTTGTTGTTTATCATGCAGATGTCCTCCATTTAGTTTTTTCTTTTTCTTTATAAGCTTTCAAGGCTTTTTATTGCTGCCTAATCCCTTCGAATGTACTGTATATCACATTTATGAAATGTATGGGTACCAGAGAGAAGCAGACAACTTTGTTCTTAAACAAAGACCCCAGGATAAGGGGCGATGTTTTTCCCCTCACAGGTGATGGAGTACGTACAAAGAATGCAGCGGATAATGGCAGTCCTGTCCTCTGAACAGATGGTGATGGTCCTGTTGCTAGGATAAGGCCTGAAGAATTTAGTTTTTAATTCCACATTATTTGCCTCAGTGCCATGAATATCCCTAGGTTTCCTCAGGCAAAAATACAACAAACACACAGAAAGAGAAAGAGAAGTGACATGCGGATAGAAAAGGAGACAGAGCACGGGAAAGGACTGGAGCCAGGTCAATAGAAGCTTTTGGGAAAATGTCTGCTCAGCTGTCTGCAATCACCTGGGTTTGAAAGGCAGGCAGGAAGGAAGATTGGTTTGGCATGAGAACGAGGCCTTTGATGCTTTAGATACCACAGAGAAAAATACGCATTTCTTCCCATTAGAAGTCTGTTGACTTTCCTAATTAAGATAAACATGTTTCTGAAGAAGTTAGCTCTCACAGTACTACATTTGTAAAAACAACCATGCTTTTAAAATATATACACAGACAAGGACGTGTGCCAAGAACTAGTGCTGGTGTGGTCTTACAAATCACTTTACAGGAATATTTTTAAATCATTGCTTTATTTAAAAGTGAGCGGATTTCATTCCCTCCAGTCAATTAAATATCTAATTTCAACTCAAGTAGATAATAACCAAAGTATTTTTATATAAATGAATGAACAGTTAGAAAACTGTTAAACACACAGCCCTCAAGCATGAAAAATATATTCGTTTAACTGTTTTATTCTTTTATGACTAATTTACTACAGAGATTTTTGCACTTACATCATTTTCAGTTTTGGCACTGGGGGAAAGAAATCTTATTTAAAAAAATTAATTCAGATTGAAATTCTCAAGGATCCCTGTGCCACCTGAATTATTCTATCAACCATATTAAGGATGTGGTAGATGGTGCTGGTGGAGTTGTGATTTTTCCACAATGGCAATTTTGAGGGAAAAAAACCAAAAACCTGTGAAAACTTCCAGTCATCCAGCTCCCACAACAAAGCACGTGTTAAATATCAAAAAACATGTTGAATTCATAAAAGGACACAGTGCCTGTAAAATGTAGAATACCTGAGGTTTGGGGGATTAGTTGCAATATTGTCCCCTTCCTAGGTGGCTGTACAAAGCCAGATTGTTTTAAATTTTAAATGATTTAAAGGAGCCCCATATCAGATGCTCTGGGATTGGTGAGTCTCTGGCTGAAATTGTTGATTTTTCCTCCATAATGATTCTGGTAATTGGGATGTGATCCATGATTTATCACATAACAATATAGTGAGAAGGAAATTATACGATAAATTGGCTTATATTTTGTGCTTAAGAATAAGTTGAGGAAAATGTAGATGAGGCTATATGGGACAGAAAGTGCACTGTGTACCAAAATACATAGTATATGTTATTTGTATGTGTGTGTTTATGCATATATATATAATTCATGGTTTTGTCCTTAAAAATTGGCAGAATTTAATTTTATCAATAAAAGGATATTATGTTTCAGGAAGGGTTTCAAAACCAGCTCAGTTGGAACAGAAACTTTTCCTGGTCTTCAAGCAGTTTCTGTTCTCATTTTCTATCAGAAATATTAAGTAATATAAAACGTATCAGAATTTATTGATATTCAATTCTCTGGATATCACATTGTCTGGGAACCACATAATCAGTAAACAGGCAAGAAAATAATCACTAACACACTCTCACTACTATATTCTATTTCCAAGCACTCCTTTATTTTTACCCCAATTTTTTGGTGAAATTGGTGATTCGTTTATGGAATTTCTTATCCCTCATATTCATCTTGAAAAATATTCAACCAGCTTGTTGAATATTTGTTTTCTTAATTAGCACCTCTAGATGTTACCTGGTTGTTCTCAATTCTCACTTTTTTAGGGCGTAGTCACTTGTTCTACCCAATTCAGAGGATTAATAGAATTTTGCTTAATATTAGATGTTCATCAGAGGGATGTCTTGGGTGCAGATGACATCTGACTGCCTGAGGGACACAGCTCCAACCTCTACGTGTCTTGGTGAGGCTGCTGAGTAGATGCATTTTTCAATTTATTGTACAAAATGATGAGGTGAATTTGGTTCACAGCCCTTCATGTGTAAATAAATAAAAATACCTCTGAAACTTGAGCGGAGATGAAAGAAGCCGTTTCCGTCGAGAGCGGGAGAAGTGGTTTCCCATGCCGTGTGCTTTGTGACACACACAGGAGCCTTTGTGGCTCATCTTGTTTATCCTTCGTATTCTAAGCAGGAGTCAGACACATGCCTTAAAATGGGATAATGTGTCACTTCTGACATTGCTCTTTTTCTGTAGTTTGTGTTCTTTCCTTAAATACTGGCTGTTCTTTTAGAAGCCTGTTGTGAAGAAAGATGTGTGTGCTATTCTTCTCAGTTCCTGGTTCATGAAGTATCATACTCTGTGATCTTTTCAGATTATTAGAAAGGAATCCAGATTAGAAAATGCTTTATGTTTTAATCTCATTACAATGGTACATGAATTTCCTTAAAAACCAAGTTTTCTTTGCTTTCTAATCTTAGGCTATTTCTTTTTCATACAAACGCAAAAGGTGCCAGTGGCACAGCTACCTCGTGTAATGAAACACATAGATTTCTCTTCTACTTATTTTATTTCTCACATTCATCATTCATATTTAATGCCACAGGCATTTGACTTCTTAATTCCCTATATTGAATAGAAGAGGCATGCACAGCATGCACTCTGGTTTAATGACTTGTAATTCTTCTTCATTGATGACACACTTTTTCACCTGGGAAACTTGTGGTGCCAAACTTCCTCTCACATGTGTGATGCAGTCAGTATCCTTAACAAGGTGGTGATGGCTGGAGAGTGGAATGACTGGAAAGTGTAAGGTCCTAACCTTAAATGCCTCTTAGAGTGAGAGAACACTGGCCTAAGTGTTTTTCTGGTGATATATATGTATATGTTTATTATTTTTTCTCTATAGTTGAGCCTCAGTTGCTGACTTCTCTCCTGCTGGCTCTATAACATGCCTCTTTGCTTATTCATTCTCTTTTTGTGAGCCAGATTTCGGGTAATACACAACTTTCCCACCGTAAGATAATTAATATTAACCTACTGAGTAGATTTGCTAGTAATATTTCCAACATATAGGTTTTGTAGACTTCAGCAGGACTAGAAGATCATATGACTGATAGATTACAGTGTCTGATGTCAGTATTTTGGACTAAGATATGATGGACTAAGCACTATCCTGAATGTTATTGTTTATTTACAGACATCTCATAGGACTGTCATAGTTAGGGTTAGTTACTTATAAAAGCGTAAGATTTTGGAATAAAATGTTCTGTAGAACTACAAAGCATTCAGGCCATTATAAGAACATTGCACCTTTCCAGGTTGTCAAAGCACTTTAGAAGCATTTACCAGCCCTCATAGCACGGAAACATGGGAAATCTTATCTTTTATTGATTTCCCAAGTGGGTTGGCTGAGACATTGAAGAGTTCTGGTTTGCTAACTGTGAGCACCCTGATAGCCAAATGCAACGTCTGAAGGAAAACAAAAAATGATACTGAATTTCCCCTCAAACTATTACAGGGAAACCTTTTGGAGAGCTTCCCTCAGGAAAACAGAGGGAAAGAGACAGAGAGGAAGTTGCCTGGTTATTCAGGCAGAGCACTCCTGAGTGGAAACAGGAGGATGTGGAGAGATTTTGCAATTTGAGTCAGTTCCAGAGTAGAGGAACACTCTTCATTCAAAACTTGCTCAAGGTATGTGTTCTTCATGAGGATAGGTGGCATGTGGATGGAGGGGGAGATTTTTCTTTTGGAAGAGGAGGCCTAGGTATGAGATCAAGCCCAGTTTGGTTCCTCATGTTCCAGGAAAGGTGGAGGTTTCTGGTCCTTTTCAATCTGACATCAATTTTTCAGCAAGATCCAAGAAGTGAAAGAAGTAATACTTGAGTGAGTGCAGTGATCACAGGAAAATGAATGTTATTCTATTCATGAATGGTGATTTAACTGTGGTCTTAGTAATAGCCTTGAAGTTTTCCTTTGGAATATATCCTAAAGGATTAAAAAATAAATTAATGGTGCATGTTGGAAAAGATCTTCAAACATTTCAGCATAAAAGTACAAAGCTTAGATCTGAGAGGGATTTCAGAGGTCATCTAGTTCCAACTCCTGTCCCAAGGCAGGAGCAGCTCTACCTAAAATGTGCTTTGGGTGTCAGGTGGTTTTTTAGCCTTGGAAATTTTCCATTATTTTCATAACTTTCCACTAGTCCTCCCTTCCACCCCCCGCCCTTGAAGATCTTAATGTATTTAGTGTTCTGATTTTTCTTTAGCAGTTAGAAATGTCTCAGAAAGTGGTTATTAATAAATCATTAAAGGTTTGCATCTCATTTCATTTCCTTGCTGCTCTACTACTCTTTATTTCCAACCGTAGTACAAAGTCATTTTGAAAACAGAAGAAGGAATCTTTCACAACTGAGTCAAATCTAAATGATGGGGGTAAGCCCAGAGATTTTTTCCTATACCTAGAATGCTCTTGGTTATTCAACTTATTTGCTTAGATTAAAGGTTTCTTAGCCTGATCTTATTTTATCTGGCATTGGTGAAGAAGAAATAATTTTGCGTGCAAGGCTTTAAAAGCTGCATATCTTGAACATGGAGTCACTTCTCCAGTAGGGCTGTCCTGGGAATAGGGAATAGCAAGGTTGAATATAAGGCTTGATAACTACAGATATTTTCAGTAGCACCAAAGGAGGTATGGGAAGTGATGAAAAAACTTATGAAAGGTAAACGGACTATAATTCATACTAAATATCTCCCCTTGTGCAGAAGCTCTTTTTAAATTACTCAGATAAATGAGCTCATTTATGGAATATTTTGTACTGCATGAACTTATATGGGCACCTGTCATGTATATATATTTTTAATACTGAACTCATATAGATGGCTTGAAGTCCCCCTTGCCCTTTAGTAAATTTAAATCTCCCACAAAGCTGCTGTACAGTAGTCATAAAAAAACATTTATGGTTCAACATAATTTCCCTTCATTTCTTTTTCTCTTTCTTTTAAAAAAAAAGGCAGTTTAAAAGTAATAAAGCACTTCCTTCTGTAAATCTTTGATCTTTTTTCTTCCTAAGGGAAGATTAATTTGTAAATATGCTAATGGATTTGTATAATATGAAACCTTCATAAGAAAAACTACATTAGTTCATATGAATGAACACATCTATCTTATTCAATTTATAAACTAATGGCTGAGAGCATCAACAATGCATTCTGCTCAGTCTCATGTCCAAAATCACTGCCTGTGATTCAAAGACAGCACAGAATTTTGTGAAAAAATGTGAGTTTGACCAATTTTATTTTTTCCTCATTTTCTTTTTTTTCCAATTTGTTTGCAATAGTGACATTTGCTGCTGCTCCAGCCAGGTGAGCACCCTGCTATGAAGAAATCTCATGTGATGGGAGTTGCATGATGTGGCTGTAACACATCCAGCTGCATGCCTTCCTAAGGAATCCTGCTGGTTTGCAGCGGGGTGCTGAGCCTGTAGGCACAGTGATCCCTCAGACAAGCACCCTCTGAAGCTGAATGACAGCAAAATGTTCATCCAGACTTGTCCTCACCATCTCCTGGCTGGGACAGTGATCATGCCACTTTCTTTCCAGATGGAAGCCTTGGAGGATGTTGTTTCCACCGCTGCAGGAGCTGGATGCAGAGATCCTTGTGGATCCCCTCCAGCTCAGGATATTCTGTGCTGCTGTGCCTCTCTACTGCCCCAGCCTCTGTGCCTGCCCAAGCTGCCCTCTCTGCTCCATGGCAGGATGGGAAGGGGCAAGGACTTCATGGGGGGTTCAATCCAATGCAGGTGCAGCAAAAAGTGGGTCACTGGAAAGTTTTTGTACTCTGCGTCCTGGGTGCCTCTAGCCAATGCAGAGCTCCTTCCTCTTCCCCCCCAACCCCAAGCCCTTATTTACCTATTCCCATGTTTTTGCCTTTATTTGGTTTATTCTGGTGCTTAGCTGAGAAGCTGTGGAGGGTTGAGGTTTGCTCCAGCCCTGCCTGCCAGGGGCACCTCTTCTGGGACAATGGGCCTGGCAGTGGAGAGGCCATAGAGAGGCTGGGGCAGAACCTGCTGCATTCAGCATTTTCTCTCTGCTAAGGTCTCCTTACAATTTAATTTTCTCTGTGATCTTTTTCTCCTGGTGTTCCTTTGCCTCTTTTCGTTTCTGAGCTAAACAATCCTAATAGAAACTTGACATCATTAAGTGAATGTAAAAATCAGAGTCTGTGTGTTGATTCACAGGGGCTGTGCTGCATGGTCACACCACAGAACCCCAGCAGAGAAATGCTGCTTTAGCCATGGGCTCATCTCCCTGCCACTCCACGAGGAAGAAATCCACATACTTTGGATTTATTCCCTTCAAAGCTGGCATATTTTTAAATAAAAATTGCATAGAAAGGATTTAAATTGATTTTGAATTTAGCCCTAATTTTGATGCAATTTTGTTTGCAGAATGAAGCCTAGCGCCGGAGGAGCCTAAGTGGTGCCCTTGTACCTCTAAGCACCTCTAAGCTTTATACGGTGATTTTTCAGGCCTGGTTTATTAAGGTAAGCACAGATATGTTGAACTTCAAGCCAGCATAGCCAATGAAGGATTGTTTGATGTGCTCAGGGTACTCAGTGCTGCCGTCGTTAGCAGCTTCTTTTCCCAAGGGCTGACAGATTTGTGTCCGGCTCCAGCTCATGGCTTTCATCCTGCTGCCATAAACAAAAGGTGTGCATTTCTTCAGGCGTGGAGCTTACCCAGACTCCTTCCCTCGTTTGATGCTATCGTGCTCTGGATAAGAATAGAATTGTAATGTGCACCTTGAGGCTGGAGAAAAGGAGCGCAAGGAGACAACCCACGGCTGATTCCTAATAGGGGTGGGTGGGAAGGAAGTGTCAAATGCTGCTCAGAATAGATGAATATTATAAAGGAGTCTGCGAAGATCAGAAATAAGGGAGATTCAGATCTTTTTTTCCCTTTCTTTTCTGTCCAGGAAATTCTTTCCAGGGCTTCTCAATAGGAGTGGGGATGGAGGGTGAGCAGAGTGAAACTGGTGGGAGAGATGCGGCTGCTGTAACAGAGCTGAGCCTGCAATGCCAGAGTCTGTTCTCTTAAAAAAAGAAAAGGCAGGGGGTGGAGGGGGGTTTAGGCTTTTCTCTAGCAAAGTTTTCTTCCCAACAGTCAAAAATAATAGAAAGTAGACACAGAAGAGATCTGTTAATTGATCTTGTCCATATCTTGCCCAACACAGGGTTATTCCCTGCAGCATATTTACTAGTGCTGAGTTCAGCTTTGTTTTTAAAACCTCCAGTGACAATCTCCCGAGGGAAGTGGTGAAAGCCTGACTCTACAGCCTACTACATTTCCTTGTCGATCTGCTTTGCAGAGGGAGACTCTCACAAACCAGGAAATATTTTCTGACGTTCAGCCTACACCCCTCACTTTTTTTTCTTTCATTTCTGTCTTATTAATTCTATTTATACTCCTCTGTATCATGCAAAATAATGTCCTTCCAGGAGCACATCACGAGTTCTAACACTAAAAGGTTATGTTCTTGAGAAAGAAGAGCTTTGCCTCATGTTGATTCTTTCTCAAGCAAAGTAAATGCATAATTTAGTTCCCTGATCCATTGCTGGCTCATAGGTGGTTGTTAAACAGCTGCAGGTAGAATTTCAGGTAGGCCCCTAAACTCAAGATATTCTGCATGAAAAGAGCCAACAAATCAATAGGATGAATCCTTATCACATTTTAAAATTTAATTTCTAATATCTATATTTTTGCTTGCTTCACTTCATCAGTAGAAGTCTTTCTGCAAAGCATGTCCTTTCTCATTGCCTTTCCCCCCACTCCTAATCTTAGCTCTAGATCATGATTTGGTCAAGATCCTATTTAAATAGTTTTGGGGTTGCCAGCATGGTGTGTTCTGATATTCAGATCTCATAATCCAATTTTGAAATTAAAGAGCTCGGGGCAAAAACACTCACATAACTGAAATGCATGTTTTTGAGCACTGTGCCAGTGTTTTCTTAAGAAGAATATACCAAACCTCCTCTTTTTCTTCCCAATTAATACAACAAATGTCATGCACACAATCTCTCTTTTTAACTCGTGCCCCGTGTGAGCACAAGAGACAGCATAAATGTAAGCTGGGCTATGATTTCAGGGAAGGTATCTGAATTCCAGCTGAATGCAGAAAATATGCAGAAGAGCAACTGATTTACAGTGCCTTATTTGCTCTCTTAGCAGAACGATGTTCTCTGTATTCCCAACAATAAAAGCAACAGCAAGGAAAAAATAAGTCAGTGTGCTTCCCCCCCATACCAAAGCTTCTTCTCCCCTCTGCCTAAGTCATTATTTCAAGTTTCTCAGTATTAAATCTAAAGGTTCATCAACTCACATCTTTACAGCTCTGTCTTTCTGTATACAGGACCCTGTCTGCCTGTTTCCTCTATTGCACTATTTTGTTTGTACTACTGTAATCATTTTGCTGGCCCAGATCTGTGTGGGTGTGCTGGCAGCTTTACAACAAAGTTACATGGGAACTGAGTTAAGGTTGAATATTTATTAGAAGAAGCCATCTGGCGTCAGGCTGTCTGTACAGGGGGGCTTATTTCTTTAGTAGTCTCTCCTTTTTCTTTCTAGCTCTTCCTCCCTCTCTCTCCGTTTCTCATTTACGTGCCGCATATATGTGAAAAGTGGAACACACATCTTGACATATTGATTTGATTCCTGATATTTATAGCAATTAACCCCGCTCATGTGATTATCCCTGTCGCCTCACCCCATACCTCTCTCTCTCTCCCCCACTCTGTTCCCGTGGTGGGGGATGCTGGGGGTCTGTTCCCATGGTGGCAGCCCCCCGGATGCTGCAGGGCTCCCACCGCAGCCCCTTCCCTCTCCTGCTGCTTCCCACAGGCTCCAGGCAGCTCCAGTTTTGCTTAAACATCCCTCTCCTGCTCCTTCCACACTTTCCCTCCTCCAGCTCGTGAGCTCATAAA